ATCCAATAAGGGCGTTCTACAAAGAACAAATAACAAAGTGCACAAAAAATATACTAAAAATTTTGGCGGGAAAATGAAAGCTGATACACAGCAAATGCTTGTATGCATAGCTTTCGACATAGAGCCTTATAATTTTTCCAAATTAACCAACTGACAGCATCATCGGTGGCACCAGGCGCATCCGGAAGTGTATCGAAATGACAGTTCAACAGAATTGCATGTTTCGATGGTGTTCTCGGACCAATACGTGCTGCAAAAAGGCATCAGTTTTGAAAAAAAAGAGACGAAAGAGGCTAAAAACTAAAAATTCAACAGAATCGCATGTTTCGATGAAGTTCGCGGACCAATACGTGCTGCAAAAAGGCATCAATTTTGAAAAAAAAAAAAAGGCGAAAAGGCTAAAAACTACTTTATCTTCTTTAAAAACTTATCTATTTTTAAACTTTGAATCATTCTAAATCTCAAACTTTACTTGGACTTTAAAAATTTATCTATTTTACGGACTTGAAAAAATTAAAAACTACTATTTTCTCGTACAAAACTCAAAAGCAAGCATCAAGATTTTAGCGCCTTTAGCATAAAAACATATCGCCCCTGCGCACAGGCTTACGTATTTCTCGATAACTGATACGGCGTTCCGTCCCTGAGGCGCTGTTGATCTCCTGCGACTGCTGAGCTGAAAACCAGGCCACCGAGTTCTATCCTGAGCTCACCTCATCCACAACACTCCATATAATCGAGTTAGCGGGTCGCACCGGCGCATCGGTGGCCTTCCTACTGGCCTTTTTACATATCGTGGGTACCAATCGATAACGCGTTTCGTCCACCAGTTGTCAGTCATCTTTGCTATGTAACCGGCCCATCTTCTTTTCCTTGCATTTCTTACCTTTTTCGGTCAAATATCAGATGTCGAAACTTCCCCCCTAATGGCCCTGTATTAAAAGGGGAGATATTCGAGAAGTAGCTCGACACATGTGAACAGCAACCAGTTGCTGGACAAGACTATCGATGCCTTCCTCTTTCGAGAGTTGCTTACAAGCAAACTTTAGTCAAACGCAGAATTTTTTTACATTTCGCACAAAACTTAGCTAATCGCTTTTGTAATC